TTCACAGTGGCTTGCTCCTACAAGAAATAATAGTAGCATCATTGATACTCATGTGTTCTCACCAAAGCAGCCTTTGTCATTTTCTCAAGGAGAAATTGGTTGCCTCACATTGACTTCTGCAGACCATTAATATCACTGATCCACAAAGTGCAAAGCAAGAAATATCCCCGAAACCACAGACCTGTGCATCAGGAAGCAACATTTGGCTGCTTCTTTCTTATCCTGGAACATGGGGGAGCTTGAAGGCAAACTTCTATACTTCACTTTTACAAATATTTTTCAGTCTATGTCACGTGCAAAGTTCACAAAATTCATGTTATACAGGAACATAACATGGTCCTATTAGTATTTCTTTTTGATGCTATATATCTAACAGTACAATATCCCTTTTTCTCAATATAAACAAAAACCCTCTGTCCCATGGACTATTCCTGATTAATTTTCTAAAGTTAGTTTTACAGAAGGAAAGTAGAACACACGCACCTTTTGACACCCATCAAATATTCAAATACAAAGTGATTCTCATAATATAATAAACCAAATAACCGTCTTTTTCATTTATATTTTTTTTTAGTGAGTTTTATTCCAACTCAGGATTGATAGTGAATAATATTGAATTTTTAAAACTGAGATAAACTCTATTCTCAGAAATGACCAAACCCTGGTTACATTTTATCTATTGCCAGTTGTGATTAATGAGTCCTCAAAATTTTAAAACTAACAGAGATGTACCCAATCTTGGAGGTTTTCAAGACACAACTAGACAAAGACTTAAGAAATTTGGTTTGATCTCACAGCTGGCTATCTCTGAGCAAGAGGTTCAACCAAAACTTCCTGGGCTCCCTTCTAGCTGGGACAATTCTATAATTATAACCACAATTGATCACATCTTTGTTAGTTTGCTCTGCCTGCTCACTTGAGGCACAGATTATTATACCCATTCCCAACAGATGATACGAATAAATGATGGAATGATATGTTGCGGATGACTACAGGTGCTCATTTTCAATATGATTTCTGCATATGAAAAAATAAAGCTAAGCTGATTACTCACAGGTTTGCATACTGAGCATAAACTCTCTTCAAATATGAGCAAATACTTGAAGTCTGTGTTACAATATTCCATTTGCTCCAGGTGTTACAGTTAACTTAGCATTTACTTAGAAAGAAACCACAATGAGAATCTGTTTTATATTCCCAGAAGCTAAAACATTTGGAAACAGAAATTATACTAGGAACATCAGAAGAAAATTTATGCTCTGAGTTTGATATGTTGCATTCAAACATTTGTTATACTGAGTTACCTTGGGTCATGTCAACATCATAAAGAAGCTAGAACCCCATTTTCATCAAAACTATTTCAAAATGGTGAAGTGAATATTATACATAGGGACAATACACAGCACATGAGGATATGGCCTCGAGTTGCACCAGCAGCTGTTTAGAACAGTCTGCCAAGAGAAGTGGTGGATTCACTATCCCTGGAGGTATTTAAGAGATGGTGGACATGGTTTAACAATGGAGTTGTAGTGTTAGGTTGATGGTTGGACCTAAGATCCCTTAATGATCTTAAATCTTTCCAAACTAAATGATTCTATGATCCATTCTCAAGTGAAGGCAATGGAAGAGATATAGTGTTGAGTACCACTCAAGGTGATGTTTGACATTTCTCAAGATCAAGATCTACGTTGAACACAAGTCTAAAATGCCTCTGGACTTAAAACCAGACCTTTTACAATTTCTCTTTATGTTATAATATCCTATGCAATAGTGGTTCTGAAATTATTTTACTTTATACTAAAAAAAATATGTAAGAAAGTGCATGATTTTGAGACCCGTTATCAAAAACCTTCTAGTAATCGCACAATATCAAATGTAGTTGTAAATTCATTACAGTATTTGTTGTCATTTTAACCTCAGTTATGATTCCTTGCACAAACAAATGTCTCAAATAGGCAGTGATGAGGTCTGGAACATAACAACATTTTAAATTAGTTGTAATTTGTCAAAATTGATTTGTATGCTACATTTTCAATCTCATCCATAGATTTTAATGTAGAATTTAAATTACACAAGACAGTGTTTTATTATATTACATATTACTACAGATGGTTGAGGGGAGAAAATCTAGACATTCACACTAATTAATTGGTGACATTTGGAAAACTAACTACTGCTTGATTTTTTTGAATAACTCTAATGTTAATATATTTTTTTCCAAGAAGTTTGGGATAATTTTATAGAAACATAGCAATGATCAAAAAAGTGGTTGCTGTCTCTCAAGCAATCAGATTAGCATTTAAATACACAGAAGGGATTATTCATTCATTCTGTGGAGACATTGTAAAGATTTTTTTTCTGTTTTAGAATTACAAAAATGAGCTAAGGAGAGGCAACTGCCAATCTGTAAAGAAACACAAGCTGAATTTTGAGAATAAGGTTGAATGAAATAGGAAAAAATGGAAAGTTAGGGAATGAGGAGACCTTATAGATTGATCTTGTGAAAAAGCTTTAAAAAATCAGTCTGAGTAACACTGCTTTCATCTTCAGGTGCAAACTGTAAGCTTTCTTTCTCTATTATTTTTTAAAGAAGAGAAAACCCAAACCCTTGTAATATGGAAATATAATTTCCTTCATTAAAACTAAACTGGTAATCTTGTAACCACTCAAAGAGAAATTTTTATGACACTAAATGATAAATTTCCCAAGGCAACAGCAAACTTCATATTCATGAATATTAAAACACTCAAAAAGCTTTAATATGCATGTGAAAGAAACAGAAAATGTAGTTTGCCTTTTTACTTGAATTTACTGAGAGCCTTTTTTAAACAATTCCCAACAGGTGACCTACTAGGGGGGATTAGGAGAACAAGAGAGAAGGTTACACTAATGGAAGAGTCCTGAATTGGGTAAATTCAGATCCAACTGACAGCTGGAGCTCAGGTAACTCCTTGGTTTTAAGCAGGAAGTTTTGGAGAAAAAATAATTATCCATTAAGTGTTTCTATATTATTTAAAAATACACAAATAAAATTATTTTGATTATACTGCCCCAGATTTGGGACTTTGTTCCCTGCTGGCATCCCAGCCACCATGGAGACAAGCATAGGGACCATTGGTACCCAGCCAGCCGGAGCAGGAGGCATTCTCCTATGCTGCTTCAATGGTCAGTCCCTGTCTTTTTGGAGTAAAAGCTAATAAACTACACAGAAGCGTCCACATGCTGGATAAGCAGGCTGATGATGATGACTAAGGTCAGGTTTTCAAAAACACAGAGGATTTGTTTAATTGTTTATCTGCTGAATTTGGATCTAATGACCTCAGTGGGAAAATAATTATGTCAGCTCTACTTGATTTTGTAAATCTCACCTTTTGAAAGTCAGACTTTTAAGTCTGAGCTTGCAAGTTCTTACTCTGAGCTATAAAACTGGTGAAAAAACAGCTGATTTCACTAAGCATTAAAATAAACCCTTAACTCTTATACCTCTGAGCAGTCTAATTGAAGTTAATGTTAGTAGTAGTACAGAGTTTGGAAGGATGACAGCCTTTATAATCATGTTAACTTTTGAAGGTGATCCAAGTAATCACAATAACTGGAGACATTTTCCTTTTAAAGAAATATGAAATTGTGTCAAACTTAGATCAAGGGTCAGACTTTATAATGCCTTCAAGTTCTCCCATATATTATCTCTAACAGATACTACTTTCAAACACTACTACTTAGAAAAAGCAGTTCCACTCTCAAGTGAAAATTAATATATAAAGGCTTAGAGTAAGACATGTATTACATATGGTAATGTATCATACAATTTTCAGTTTTAAGAAGGCACAAACTGCAGGATCACCTCCCTGCCTGTTTTTCAAATCTCATTACTCATAAATGATCTGAAGTGTAATGTTCCAAAATCTCTCTGGAGACAGTCTGGAGGACTCATTCCTTTCTACACCCTTCTTCTGCCTCTTATATTTTCCTCCATGCATTTTAAGCAACCAGTTAGGAATTCTGTACTTTGTCTCGTAGTTTTGAGTTTCACACAAAATGCTAACAGTGAAGCTGGATAGCTCTTTTTAAAACGTTTAAATAAAGTTTTTCATGGGACTGATCACCTGCCTTTCAGCTCCTGAGACAGAAAAGCTGCTGCCACCTGAGCCCGTGAGAAGTGCATGGTCAGGAAAAGGCCCTCAGTGTGGCTTTGAATGAGAAGCTGCTACATGCCTCCTTTGCCAATTGCACATCAACCAAGATGAGGTATTTATAGGAATCAGAGGGGGAAAATGCTGCTCTGTGTAAAGGTTTGAATTTTATTTTATTCATTTTTATTTTTTAGACAATAAACTTATACTGTTAAAATACAAACACTAGTTGTCAGACAGGTCTCAAGGAAACTGTCCTCAATCCTCCGCTTGTTCAGCCAAGGAAATAAAGAAGCAATCCACTAGAAGTGAAGCTTATGGGAGCCTGGGGAAGGCGGGACAGGAGCAAATTCATCCATGCAGAAACTAGGCTGCAGCTAGAAGGAATCAGCTAAAGAAGCCTGTCAGCAGAGACTGAAAAGAAGATAGCCATGAAGAAAAGTGGGAGGAGCAGAGAACATTTATACCCCAATGAACTAACAAGAATTCTCAAAGCATAGGATAAGCCAGAAGATGGGTAGTCTAAAGGCTGAAGAAGAAGGCAGGGATAATCATCATCACTGACTGTGACTTCCAGACATAGCCATCAGACTACATTGCTGTAGCATTCCTACGAGGAATTTTCCGTACAGGGTTGTCCACTGCTACAATATAGAGATTTTTTTTTTTTCAGGACAGTTTTCTCTAAGACGTTCAAATGATGAGATACATGGGTAATACAATTGAAATGCATCACAAAGATGGTGGGAATTTCATTCACTTCGATGAAAAGACGTTTATTATTACCTAAAAATTACTATTCAAACATCATATGCCACAGTATATCAACCATATCACAGCATATCAGAGATCAAAAATGCTGAGTACCTGAATGAAAGGGAAGAGCAGTCCGACTGCGAAGTTGGAGAGCCAGTTGACTGTCCCAGCTATCATGAAAGCAGCTGGCCTCTGAGACTGCTGGAAAAACTCTCCCGTGAGGACAAATGGAATCCCACCTGAAACAGGGTCCAAGAAGGTGGTGATTTTAGTAAACTTCCTCTGCCAATAGCTGCTTCAATAATAGAGACAAACATGTTCCATGTTACAAAACTCGGTGACTAGCATTGCTCTACAGCTCTCTTTTCAAGTGTACACAGAGGCTTCTGAGCCAGTAAAATGTGATTAGTCAAAACTGTGCTTTGGAGGAATGTGACATTTTGCTCTTTCACACCACTGTTTTACATCCTTTCAGTGACAGCAACCAGGTAAGAGTATGGAGAATTCATACAACTTCGAGAATACCACATGAGAAGCTGTTTATTAAAAATAAAAATTACTTTTTCTAATAGAAGTTCAAAATTCTGAAAACTAAGAAATATTCCAAAATACTTTTAGACATTAACAATTGGAAGACAGGACCAAAGAGATTAAGCAAATTTTTTAATAGCTGTTGCCCACTTTATTTTAGCAATAGGAAGGCAAAATATTTGCCTCTCTATAGGCATACTTTTCATTGGTGTTTATTTAACAAATTCCATTACTAGTTGACACTTTTGGCAAGGTCTATTTCTCCCATCAGCCAAGGACTCTGACCTTCATAATAACAAGCTCAGCTGAATACTACATTTGTCACTCATGTTTCCTTCCACTTAAACAGTGGACTATTTTGTACAGCACTGGCATATTGCTGGCCTCACAATAACCCCCAGGGTGTAGCTGTCTAGTATCTGAAAGTCTCAATTTATCTTTGGCTTCCTTCCTTTTAATAGGATATTTCTATAGAAATATTTCTGTTTCCATAGAATAAAGCATTTGCTGATTGTATACTTATTTTAGTTAATATTGCACATCAGACACACATATGCTTGCAGAATTTTTTCATAGCAGTTTGGAAAAATATAAACCTCATGACCTTAGTCAGGTTTTCAGTATTCTGGTGCTACCAATTTCTACCTCAAGAACTTCATATCTGCCTTTATTATTATGCCTTATTTTCTGCATTACCACTTAGCTTTGTAGGCAAGATTGATGTACACATCTATTATCTCAATCCTTTCTCTGGTTTAGGCACTTTAGTAATCAAAAGCATGTAAATAGATACACCTTTTCTCAAAAGTCTCTGTAACAATCCTGCTTCCAAAATACACATAAATTAAGATAAAAACAACACTGAAGACTCGCCCATCCATTGGGTCTTCATGGAGCCCCTTGTGCTCAGTGGCATTGCACTTAAACACATGCATCAGAAGCTGTTCTATCAGCAGTATGAGATAGTAACTTGCAAACATGTAACAGGACATGTAAATGACACACAGTGTCAGATATTCCTCTATTTCATATCTTTCAAATGCAGGGACTGTGAATACGAGTGTAAAAGAAAGGCAATGTGATGCAGCCAAAGGTTAGATTATACATTAATAGGCATCACTCTCCTTTATCAACTAATGTGACTTCTTCTGAGAATATATCTACAACTGTAACAAACCCAACTTTCTGTCCTAAAGACTGTCAGTATAAATTACACTTTAAAAAGTATACAGCAAATAAATATTTCCTCCTATTTCGTACATAGAAAACAGAAACATGGGGAGAAGGGCCATCCATGCCTCTGTTTAATGTCTTTCTGCAAGCCACATGTAGAACCTAATTCTTAACCAACAAATGTGACCTCTGCCAACAGCACTTTGACAATGCAGAATGAACAGCAGAAGAGGTATAACTATTGAAATTCTAGCAACATGTGTTCTATCAATCTTTGGTGGCTTCCAGTACCCATTTTGTCATACATTTGGTATTTGGGTTCAAATCCTAAGCTATGGCAGGCAAAACAACAATCACATCTGTTCTGTCAGTATCTGTTTTAGGTCACAAGTGCCATACGAGGCAGTGGTTTGCCAGAGCACTTGCTCCTTAGAGAGAAGTGAAGGACTGGAAACATAGAAGCCATGTAAGATGATTTATTTATGGTCATTTATTCTGTCATGCCTTTGCTGTAGGACAATCTACAGAGGTGTTGCTGTTCTTGTCAGTATAATAAAAAATGCTGTTCTAGATCCATTTAGAACAATACACATTGTACAAGAGAGGAAAAAAAGAGAGGAAAAAAGCCAGAGGCAAGCAAGAGAAATAACAATAATATATATAAAAAAAAAAAAAAAAAAGGACAGAAACATCAGAAAGCATAAATGTTATGGAAACAAAATGCATGGGCACTATTTGTAAAAACAAAGAAAAAAAAGAAAAAAATTTTGAAATTCAGATGTAAATTCTAGATACATATTAATCATCACTAAAACTTTTTCTTAGTCATGCTTATCACAAAAGCTCTTCAATCTAATTGCAAAAATAATCAATTAAAAATAGTAAAATAAAATAGTATTTTGCAAAGTCTAAAAAGAAAAAAGAAATTAGCAGCTCCTCTGAGCTCTAAATGTTTTGTAAATCAGGAATTGGGAAAGGTGGCACAGACAGACCTCCAGATTTTCTCATGGCATAGAGAAGAATTTCTATAGCATTGCACAACAGAGAAAGTCAATCTCTGTAGAGGAATGACTTAAGAGGAATTGTATGGAAAAATCAAGGAGCCTGAAAAATAATTGGCAGTTTAGCTGAAACACAGACCAGGCCTAGAAACAAATAACTGAATGAAGCCAGGTCATTGCTGTATACTGCTATATGCCTGGAAGAGCAGAGACCTGATCTTAGTAAGAGTCAGAGCAGGGGTTGCATATGCCTGCCAAGAGCCACATCACTGAGAAGAACACACTCCTCAGCTGAATGAAATGAAATGGAACTTAGGGCAAGTAGAAGGAAAAATGTAAATCCTTAAGACAAACAGCAAAGGCACCTGAAATCAGCTAAGCTCATAGCCCCAGGGATCCTCCCATCCCCAGTCATTTCAAGGTGCAGAGGTGTGCTCAAGGATCCCTTCTTAACTTGGTTTCTTTGAGAAAGAAATCTGGGTGCATGAGATTGAAGGAAGCTGCAATATGCTTTGAGTAGGTCAGCCCAGGTTGTAAAGTATGCCACTACAGTCTGCAGCTACAGGCTTCATCCTCCCTCACTGACCGTACAAAATCTCAAGATTTTCCACCTTGCTTTTTGAGTAGTAGGGTCATCACAATGATATGGCATCTCACCAAACATTCCTTATAGTCAGTCTCATTGCAAGCTCTCCTATGAATTAATTATCTATATATGTCTGTTCCATAGATGCTTGGGAACTACAGCTAAAAAAAATCCAATAAATCCACCGTGCTTTTTTGAAACAGTCTTTAAAAATTTTGTCATGAATTTTGCAACCATAATATGTGCTTGAACATGGTTGAAATGGTTTCACCAAAAAGCTAACTGATATCCTTTCTCATGGGGAATGAACCTGGCATTAGTATTTCCACTGAAATACTTTCCATGCATTTTTCAGTGAAACAGCTTTATTTTAGCTCTAATCATAAAATAAAATGTATAATAGGATTTCCTGTAGGAGTTTTTCAGCAAGATAGCTTTTGAACATTAATTTAAACAGGTAATGCATTGACTGCAATGCTTATAGTGATTCATTTCTTTGTTATTATATTATATAATTCTTTGTTATTTTCAGCATTGCAGTGAATATAATGGAAGAAGCTCTTAACAGACTGCAGTGCCACTAAAGAAAGACTGTTTTATCTGTTAAAATGCTACCTCCACTGAAAATTGCAAATCTCATATTATAGGCCTTGTATATCAATGGCCTGCTTAATTAAACTAGACTATGCCTCCACAACACAATTTGACATGCAACAAAACCTCTATATCTCTGTATTTTAGTCATTTCCTTCCATAATTTGTCCAGTTACACTTAGAATCAATGTCACTTGCTGGTAAACATCCAGAATCTGAACCCAACTGTCTTTTATACATGAAATTGGAATGATATAACAGAAATACTATTCTTGCCATACGTGCTATGCTATTCTATTCTTTTTTTTCTCTGTCTTTTTCAAATATATATTTAGATTTGAACAAGTAGCATATTTTCCTGTGAAAAAATAAGTGCACATAGTTACTGTTTTGATCAGTGAGCAGTTACAAATACTGCTTAGCAGAAGTTACTTGGTTCATTACAAAAATATGAATACAAAAAAACATGAAAAACGAAGGAAAATGCTGAGATCCTCATTCTGTTTCTATCCATTACCTATCCAGGAGTTAACGTCATAGATGATTTATGCAATGAAACTTAAGAGAATAAATGCCTCATATAAATCGGGGAGATTTATTATATTAATAAACTGCCTCTAAAGTCAATAGAATCTTTACATTCTAAGAACTAATGATGAGAAAGGAACACCCTGAGCCCCCTGCTTATCTTTCAGCACAGGCTCAGGACACAACTCCATGTATTCAGGCAGCATTTGGCATCTTGTGAGCCCTAGGCTTTGTAGCCCTGCAGCTCGAAATGCAGCCAAGTGCCTTTCCAACAGGAGGGCCTGGAAATTTTAAAAACTGTGAGCTCCCAGACTTTTCTGCCCTGTTCTCTGAAACAAAAAAAATCTTCAAAATGAAATGCTTTGACAAATCAGGCAAGTACTTTTCAACAATGTTCTGTTTTGCTAAAAAATGTCTGCCAGATCTACACAAGATCAACTTGACTGCAAGGCAAGGTATGTAGGTGGAGAAGACTGATACATCCTAATAGGGTTGGGAAATAGAGTACCACCTCAGAGAAAGGTTTCAGTATGTGCAATTCAAGTGCAAGAAGACAACTCTAAAGGACAGCTATGGTGGGGAGGAATGAAAGTGAGACAAAGTTCCTGCAAGAAAGCAACCTGGCAGAGCAACCTAGTATTCTTCACTGAGACCTCAAAAGTCTGTTTGTATTCAGACCTTAGCTATGAAAACACAAAAAAGCAAAAAAAAAAAACAAATGAAAATGCTGGAAAGTACATACTGTAGAAGAACTGCTAGTGAGGCACCCAATATGAACTGTGAATGTTTTCCATTTCTATAGGTCAACAGATAGAACAAGAATTTT